AGGGCTTCGCATCTTAGGGGCGACCAAGTTAAAATCTGTCTAAAACAGAAAGCGACTTCTAAGGGCTCATTTGGCTACGAATTTTGCATAATATTCAAAGTTTGAACAGTGCTTGTTGACCTTCTAAAACCCAAAAAAATCAGTAAAAGAAAGTAAATCTCGAATGATTCTAATGGCACGCAGAAGACGTGTCACGGACGAACAGATCAGCAGCACAAAGTGTCGGCACTTTCCAAAAAATCCTCACAATAAGCGAAATTAACTGGTGTTCTCCCTTTGATGCAGGAAAATCGTTCACCATCACTATCACCATCTTCACCACCCCACCTGTGGTCGCCACTTACCACAAAGCGATCAAAGTGACGGTGGATGGACCCCGAGAGCCCCGCTCGAAAACAGTGAGTAAGTAGATTGAATCCGTATTTATTTTTGATTTTTCGGTTTTTTTCTTTTGCATTTCTTCTCGACAAAGCGTCGATTGCAATCAGTCCGATACTGTTACTGGCTAATTCGCAATGCGGGCATGATTAAAGCGCAGCAAAAGCGAAATGCAAGCGCAGCCAAGTAGCAACAAAAGTGATTTTGATTCTGCATCAGTACGGTACCATCGGCGATGGGTACGTTCCGAATTGGTACGGTTCGAATGTGGCAGAAGGCAAGCGATCGTTTTGATTTGTGAGCATTCGGGGACGCAACCAACAGGTACCGATCGAAAGGAACCTGAAGCATATCATTACAAGGCGATTTCGAGGGGTAATTTACTGAACCTGCCTTGTTGCTACTGTCTATGCTTTTTTCCCCAGTTTTTTTCCCTCTCGATCACAGCAGATGCACGCAAGCAGAAATTCAATTGGACTGTTGGTACAGAATAGGCTCGATTCAGCGATAGAAAATTCATTTTGTACTCAATGTTTCGTTTGTCGGTTCACGTTTGAGGATTTTTGCTTCTACCTCTTTGAAGGTTGGAAGGAGGTTCTTTTGAAATTTGCAAAATTATGAGCGGTTGCTAAGATATAGAATGTTTTAGACTGTGATGATCCCATTTTTTTTACATTTTTGCTTCTTATTCTTTAGAGGTTAGGAATTTCTGATAAAACTTAAGTGCAGAAAGATAGTTCGTAAAACGGGTTGTAGAAGACGTGATAACGAGTGATTCGATATATCCAAGCGTTTCGCGGCTTAGCCGTTTTTAGAACTTCAGGCGCCAGAAAGGGGGCGAAGCCCTACCATGACTTGGAACTAATTTATACCAAAATTTAGCACTTTAAATGCTCTTTCAGAAAGGTTCTTATGAAGTTTGCGAAATTATGAGCAGTTGCCAAGGTATAGAATGTTTTAGACTGTGATGATCCCAATTTTTTTACATTTTTGCTTGTAGTTCTTTAGAGGTTAGGAATTTCTGAAAAAAACCTAAATTCAGAAAGACAGTTCTTGAAACGGGCAATAGAAATCGTGATAAGAAGCGATTCGATATTTTCAAGCGTTTTGCGGCGTAGACGTTTTTCGAGGTTCAAGTGCAGATTAATGAGCAAAAAAAATCGCTTCATGCGTTTGAAAAGTTAAAAAAACTTTGACTTTGATGATCCCAATTTTTTTACATTTTTGCATCTACTTCTTTGAGGTTGGAAAGATAGTTCTTGAAGCGGGCTGCAGAAGACGTGATAACGAACTGTTTGATATTTTCAACTGGTTTTTGCCTTTTTCTTTTTGCTCCTTCGATACTCTTTGAAAATAATCAATGGCACTTTTGCAGCCGTTTTTCATCTAAATGCGACTGAAACCACTCTTTTGCAGTCCAAAAAATAGGGGTTTTCGAGACTTTTCTGGGAAATTCTCCAAAACTTGGCATAGTTTTGAAGTTGCCAAGTAATTTTTCCTATTTCCGTTTGGACCTAAACTCATAAAATGATTGAGGTTTAGCCGGAGTGATTTGTGTATTAAAAAAATAACAAAAACCAACCCAAACTGATTGTATTTGTAAATTGGCAGGAAACGAAGGGCCGCATTTATAAAAGATGAGGTACGTGCAGTGTTCAATTACCTACTGCTGAATAATTCACTACAGAGTTACGCATAAACGCAATTGTCGTTTGTCCAAACAACTGGCTAAAACCAGGTGAAATCAGACAGACAGTTCCCTACGGAAAATAATAACGAAAATATGAAAATAGTAACACTGATGGACCGATGAAATCTTCATTCAATCACCCGCTCTTCCATATCGATCTTCGTGAAGGAACGAGAAGAATAAAGAGACGACGACGAAAAAATGCCACGGCAATTTGTGAACGAGTTTCTTAAATTGGATTTCTATGGGTCTTGTGAAAAAGCGCCTGTTTGCTCGACGCCATTGTATTGACCACAACGACCAAACAATCCATGTTTGGGTTTTACTATTTACGTTTTCACATTGTTGAACTTCCCCAACCCATTCAGATCTTACAGGATTGCGAATAAATTGGAACAACATTGTTCTCCATGGATAAATCGGGCGAAATCCACGTTTTGCAATGGAAAGCAATCCTGCTGCCGGGCAGGACGTGGAATAAATGTACAGTGGACTGGCCGATCGAGAGCAAATGGGGTAATTACTTGCGGAATAATGAGCCAGTAATTGTCGAAATGGCAGATTTGTAAATTGCTAATCTCACGCATTTGTCGTTGATTGGTTTCGCCCGTACCCGAAACGGTTTAGTTTCGCTTTTATCGCAATTTGCTTACGTGCGTGGTGTCCTTCAAATGGCACCGTTACAAAAAACACCCCAGAAGAACTGAAGCTGATCGGAGCCAATTTTCACCAGGAACGGAACGAAAACTCCACCACCATATGTTGGCAAATCAAGCTTTCCGACCCGCATTGTGTATTCAAATATAATATCCTGTCGAACTAATAACATTAATAACGGTGGTTCTTTTGTGTCCATGTCTTTACACGCCAAATATCCTCGCGATACCTTTTTCATACCCCGCATCGGTAACACATATTTCAAATTGGTATAATTTCACGCACGCAACCCGAAAATGTCTATTATATGGCGAATTTCGCTACAAAAAAGGCCCCGTTTCTGTCTGAGACCAAAGATCTTCAATCGCCCGCAAACTTACAACATGCAAAATTTACCTGAAGCGGAATAGCGCCGTCCACTCGCTCACTTGCTTCCCTCAAATCATTTGTACAACCGAAAATGCCTGTTTCTTCCATAACGTTTCGGTGAGACAACAGCGCCATCATCAGATTAAAATTCAAAACAAACTCATAATTGGGAAACATCAGATTCTTTTAGGTCTTT